TCGAGTGGTACGGGGCCTTCCCGGAGCTCTGCCCCGTCCTGCACAAGTACGTCCGGCCCCGCGACAAGGTGAGCCCCGTTTGGTACCCAGCGCCCCGTGCTCGGGACGAGCCTTCCCTGTGCCGGCCGCCTCCTGGGCGGCGAGCTCTGTGCCTCCGTGTCCCGGCTTAAACCGCCGTCGTGCGCCGTGCACGGGCGATGTGAAGCCCCCAGTGCGCCGCAGCAAGAGAACAGGAGAGACCCCACGAGTTGCCCTGGGGCGGGGAGCTCTGAGGGTTAAAAGGTCCACGTGCCCCCCAAAAGATGCCACAGATGCATCGCTTCTGTGCCCCTGTGACCTTTCTGTACGGAGATGTTATGTTAGGGCCCCGGAGAGTGGGTTTGCATGTGCTGTGGGTGTGGTTTTCACAGGAGGGTCCTGGCCGTGGCTGAGCAAGTCTCGCAAAATGCTTCGGGGTGCGTTTCCAGGGTGTTCTCACCATCACGCTGCTCTTGTGCCGCTCCCCAGGTTCTGGTGGTGGGCTGCGGGAACTCGGAGCTGAGTGAGCAGATGTACGATGTGGGGATGTGCGAGGACATCGTCAACATCGACATCAGCGATGCAGTGATCCGTCAGATGCAAGAGCGGAGCGGGAGCAAGAGGCCAAAGATGAGCTACCTGCTGATGGACATGCTTCAGATGGACTTCCCTGATGCCCACTTCCAGGTGGTCCTGGACAAAGGCACGCTGGATGCCATCCTCACCGACGAAGAGGAGACTACTCTAGCCAAGGTGGACAAGATGTTTGCAGAGATCAGCAGGGTCCTGCAGGTAGGAGGGCGCTACTTGTGCGTCTCCTTGGCTCAAGCCCATGTACTGAAGAAAGCGGTGGAATACTTCTCCCAGGAAGGCTGGGTCGTGCGTGTCCATCAGGTGGCCAGCAGCGGGAACAAGCAGCAGTTTGCCCTACCAGTGTTCATCTACGTCATGACTAAGTTCAGGAAGATCCCTGGCTCAGCACCACAGATCCTGGAGATCTTCCCTGAGGAGCGAGACAAGCCGATGCGGGTGGAGAGTGCGGAGCGGCTGGTGGCAGCAGTGAAGGACAGGCAGCATTACGCCCTGCTCTGCAGCCAGCTGAGCAAAACCCCCTGCGGGGAGCAGGTTTCCCTGGATCTGTGTGACAAGGAGAGCGGGAGGCCTCGCTACACGCTGCATGTGGTCGACAGCCCCTCAGCGAAACCTTCCCGGGACAATCACTTCGCCATCTTCATCAGTGAGTACAGCCTCTCCCACCTGCAATGACACAGTGCTCTGGCCAGGAGCTGCAAAATGGCCAGCGGTCCTGGCCCTGCTGAAATCAGGGCTGGAGAGGGAAATAACCTGCCTGTGCGGGGTTCGGTTGGTGTTTTTAGTCCTGGCTTTGCAGTGGGACATGTGTTTGCCTGGTGGGAGAAGCAGAGACCTGGCACAGAGCTTGCTGGCTGAGTGGATGCCCATCTGGCAGCAGAGGGACACTGCTTGCCCTGACTCCAAGGTGGTGATTCCTTTCTTGATGCTGGTGGCAGCTGCCATAGCACGTCGCTGCATAAAGCCAGAGCACAGCGGACACAGCTGGAAAGGTGTTGCTGGTCTGTGTGGGCATCCTGACTTGCCGGGGCCAGGCTGCTCATGGCTGTGCTTCTCTTTTGCTCTTGTACCTCGTGGAAACATGTCGAGCTCTGCCAGCAGCGCTGTCCCCTCCCTGCACGCCTGCAAAGCTGGGGCTTAGCACAGCCTGGAGACTGGTCGTGAGGCTGTTGGACACCCCCTTCTTATGAGACGTGGCTTTTCCAGCCTCCTGTATGAGCCTGCCCAAACCAGGGAAGGTCCTGGCTCTTTTGATCGTTGCAGAGCATGGCTCTAGGCATGCAGTGGTACCTCCTTGTGATGTCTTGCTATTCCCTGCGGCTTCTCTCTTGAAGGCTGGGGGGGGTCACTTAGGGACCAGGACTGGCCCAGGCTGATGGCAGTCCCTTCTGCAGTCCCACAGGGCAGAGAAACCGAGTGGCTCTTTGGGACGGAGGAAGGCCGGAAGCAGCTGGCTGGCAGCGCAGGCTTCGGGCGCCTGGTCACTGTGGCCTTGCACAGGGAGCAGCACTACGAGGGCATGGCCGGCATCCAGGCAGAGCTGTCGGGGAAGGTGATGGAGCTGGCCCCGCTGGGCCTCCCTGCCCGGCAGCAGGTGAGCCCCACTGCCCAGCCCCCTTGCTTGGCTTCCCCAAAACCAGGGCCAGGCTGGCTCTTCGCCAGCAGTGAGTCCCTCTTCTCCAAGGGAGACCAAGCTGCAGTGTGTGAGCTGGCTGCCTCGCTGGGGAGGAGACTGGCCTCAGGTGGAGCTCCTCTTGGTTTTCCCTCCAGCTGGCTGCCTTTGCTGAAAGGCAGGATTTGAGGTGCTTGTGTGGCAGGATTCAGTGTGAAGTCCTCACCCTCCAAAACCCAGCATCCCAAGAAAACCAGCCATCCTGAAACCCTGAGAGCATCCAGCCCCTTCTCAATCCTGGCTTTAACTTCTCCTGTCCCTTCTGTCTCCTTCCTGCCCCAAGTCCCAAGACCTGAGCTCTTGCAATAAGTCTTGGGGTGTTTGCTCCCTGTACCCCAACACATGTATAGGATGGAAGCTGGTGTCCCCTGCCCTGGTCCCCAGCTCCCCTGTGCCTGCCTACAGCATAGCCTGCTGCTCCTGCACTGTGTCTGCTTCATCCTGGCTCTTTAGCCATGGTAAGGACAGCAGAAATGCCAGGGTCTGTTCCTGTAGCCTTTTCTTCCTCATACCAGTCCTTGTCCTCCCTGCAGGTGCCCTTCCTGTCTGTGGGAGGGGACATCGGGGTGCGGACAGTGCGGCACCGTGACACCAGCCCCCTGAGCGGGGAGTATGTCGTTGAGGACGTGAAGGGGGATGGCACCTGCTACTTCCGCCGCCTCATCTTCCTCTGCAACAGGAATGTGGTGCAGTCAGAGGTTCGGCTTCTGCCCCCCACACCTCTCCCAGGTATGTGGGGCATCTGGGAAGGGACAGGGGCCAAGGGTGACTTCTTGCGGTGTCAGAGAGTAAGATTGATACAGGAAGAAGACAGGAAAAAGTCCTGCTGGGACATGCCTGCCTTGTCCTGGAGCAGCTCTGGGAGCGTTTTTACACTCCGCTGCTTGCCTTGTGGGTGGGACAGGGGCTGACTGGTCCTCAGAAAGCACCCCTGTCTCCTACCTTGCCTTACCAGCCAATGTCTCCTGTCATTCAGGCCAGAAGAAACGGAGGAAGGACAAGAAGAAACCCAGCCCCACTGAGCCACCTGCAGCCATTGACAAGAGCTACCTGTGCTGTGAGCACCACAGGGCCATGGTCGCGGGGCTCTGCCTGCTGGGGGGCCCCAACCCCTTCCCAGGTGACAAGGCTGGCAGTGAGAAGCTGTGCCTGGGGCGGGTGTATGTGAGTTGCCGTGCCCCGGCTCCTTGGGGAAGAAGGGCTTTTCTGGCCAAGGCGCCCCATGCACCCTTCCCGAAGTGGTTTGGGGTTGGCGGGTGGGATGAACAGCGGGAGTGTGGCCATCCTGGTGGCTCACAGGGTGCTCTCTGTTGGCAGGAGCCCTGCTGGAGGTGCTGGTGGTGGGGCTTGGCGGGGGCAGCCTGCCCCTTTTTGTCCATGACTACTTCTCGCAGGCCCGTGTGGCTGTGGTGGAGATCGACGCCTCCATGCTGGAGGTGGCCACGTGCTGGTTCGGCTTCTCCCAGGGTGACCGGATGCGAGTGCACATCTCTGATGGCCTGGACTATGTGGCCAAGCTGGCGGCTGAAGGTACCGTCTCACAAACCATCCCAGGCACCCCATTGAGCCCAGCGGGTGACATGCTGGTGACGGGAGTCCTGGGCTGCTTTCATCCTCTGTTTCGTATCCCTGCCCATCTCTTGCCATGTGTCATGAGCTCCAGCCTCACCAGGTCTCTGCAACTCACAGGCCTGTCCTTGCCAATGTGTGCAGGGGACCTTAGATTTTTCTGCCTCCCCCAGCAGCAAGGGCTGCTGCTGCAGGTTTCATTTGGAAAGAGAAACCCAAGGAGAGAGAAGCAGCTGTAACATGGCAGAGAGGGTGTCTCAATCACCCCATTCGTTGCCTCCCTGCTGTGTGTGGCTCATCTCTGTCCCATGGGATAACAAGTCCCCATGTTCCCTCCTGCAGCTCCAGCCCAGTATGATGCCATCATGTTCGATGTGGACAGCAAAGACCTCACAGTGGGGATGAGCTGCCCGCCTCCAGCCTTTGTGGAAAAGCCCTTTCTGCAGAAAGTTAAAACCATCCTCAAGCCAGAAGGTAGGAGGGGAGATCTGACTGTGTCCCTGCGGCCAAGCTGTCTGGTCCTGTGCTGGGGTTGAGTAATGGGGCTGTGCCACCATTTCTCATCCTGGAGAATAGCAGACGCAGCCAGGATTGCTATGTGGCATCCGCTGCTCCTGGTGGGTCCTGGATCTGGGTTTTTCAGTGGGTGTTGTGACAGCAGGGAGCAGGGTGGAGCGGGTGTGGCCACCCACAACCCACGTGGTGGCAGGGATGTGGAGCTGGGCCAAGGGCACCGGGCGGATGCTGGTACTCCTCATGCTGCCGTGAGGGAGATATTTGCACCAGGGTGGCACCGATTCAGCTGTGTTCTT